ATACATTCAGTACAGATCAATCCATCAAGGACATTACTAGCAACAGGGGCAAGAAACACTTGTGATATTGCAGTGTATCGACTGCCAACTCTGGATCCAATTTGTGTTGGGGAAACAGCGCATAAAGATTGGGTGTTTGATATGTGCTGGCTGGATGATGAATACCTGGTGTCAGGATCCAGGGATACCAAAATGGCGCTATGGCGGGTACCTCCTGATATTGTCGATCAGAAGAGTGAGATTCCTCAACATAGAACTGTTCTGCCTGTGCATGTGAAAGAATGCAAAACAGCAGCCAAGGTAATTAATTAATATTTCAGCAATAAAAATTCTAAAATGTTAATTAATTAATTTTTTTTTTTTTTATTAAAGGTTCGAGCGATAGTCTTTAATAAAGCATACGATGAAATAGCAGGACTTAGTTTGAATGGATACATTCACATCTGGAGCGCTGAAACTTTCAAACAAAAACTCTCGCGTAAACTTCCATCGTCACAGGAGAATGTTTGTTTAGCAGTTCAGGACAATGGGCTGTATGCCATTGGGTGCCGGTCGTATACACTGTTAATGGACTGCCGCACATTACAACCCATCAAGAAAGTATCATCGCGTTATTCTGGATGCGGGATACGATCTGCAAGTTTCCAGGGTAATGTTCTCACAATTGGAACTGGTCTTGGTATGTTGATGTTCTATGATCTCAAGGCTGGGAAATATCTCGAATCAAGTATTAACTCATCTCGAACAGTTGTACTCAAAGCCAGTAAAGGATATGTTGTATGTATACCGGAAAATTATTTGAATAAGTGAATTATGAATAATTTTGATTTGTTTTAGTTTCCGGATGAAGAATACGTTGATAATATCCAAAACGTGAAGTACGTCCCGGCGATTTACACGCATTGTTATGATTTTAGTGGTACGCGTCTTTTCACCGCTGGAGGTCCACTACCAGCGACATTAACTGGAAACTATGCTGGTTTATGGCAGTGAAACTGACATTTGTGTGTGGTTTTTAAGTATTAACTTATTGTTTTATATCACGGGTTTGCAAACTATCGATTTAATGCAGTGTTTGTTAACTGAAGTGCTCGAATTGAGGTTGAGTTAAATTTGGGTACAAATGGTGCGGTTAAAGACATTCAAAAGCAATGCTGTGCAGTTTTTGGTAATACTTTAGCCGATGCAGCAGAAACAGAAACACCCAGTATGTTAAACTTAAACAAATTTTTTTTTTCGTTTTTCATGAGTTAACAATCATTTATATGGTTATTTATTTTAGAAGCACGTTCG